ATATGATTTTATCAGTTTCTCACCTTCAATATAGCAGAAAAGGTTTTTAAAAGTATTAAATGTTAAATTGTTGTGGCAATAGTTTATACCTATTTGTACTTTGAACTTGAAATAACATACCCCCACAGATAACCCTCTGTTCTATAGAAATGCAGGGAGGGTCCTCATTGCCCCCTTTGCGTGTGATTAATAGTAAATTTCTGTGCTTGGTGCCACACAAACCATGTATTTTATTAGGTAAGTTACAGTTCTTTTCATTTCCTTCTCTTATCACCCTTGACCCATATTCCCACAACCTTTTAAAAATGCCAACAGTTTTAACTTGGGTCTGGATTGAATAAATAAATAAAGAAGAGGGGAGGCAAAATCTTTAACAATTCCTAGCAGTATCCTGGGTTTAGTATGGAACATGAAATTTTATTAAGCTTTTAACATCTAAATGGTAGGGAGGCAGGCAGGCAGGCTGGCAGACATCAAGTTAACACACCTCCAGTTGGGTTATAGTTGATATTACATATAATACATGCTAATTCCCTGTTTTTGTTTTGTTCCACTTACTGGGTTTACAGTAAATCATTTCTTATCCTATATCTGAAATGTAATTTAATATTCTTTTCTCCAGCAGCCAGCATGTACATATACTTTGGCACAATTTCTCGTAGACTACTCCCATCAGTTTACTCATTATAAAAAATAACAAATTTAAGTCACATTTAGATCCCTTAATATACCATTTGGGGGAATAAACTTTGTGGATGTAGCCTTTATATTTAGTATAATTGAGGTCTAAAATAATAATCTTCTATTATCTCAACAGAGCAAATTATTGAAAAAGATGAAGGTCCTTATTATACCCATCTAGGAGCAGGTCCTAATGTGGCAGCTATTAGAGAAATCATGGAAGAAAGGTAATTAACGCAAAGGCACAGGGCAGATTAACGTTTATCCTTTTGTATATGTCAGAATTTTTCCAGCCTTCACATACAAAGCAGTAAACAATTGTAAATCAAGTAATTATTAGTAGGCTTAGCTCTTCCAGGGTTGCCAACACTACACACTGTGCTATTCACCAGAGAGTCACAATATTTGACAGGACTAATAGTCAGCTAGCTGGCACCAGCTGCCCACTTTGAAGTGGATGCCAGAAAACCCAGGCACTAACAAGAAACAGCCAGCCAGCCTGCCAGGCACAAGGGTGCTGGCATTGGCTGTGATGAGAGGCCCCTCTCTGACTTTCTCACTTCATGATAAAGCAGCAAAGACAAAAGAAGGGGCAAATATATAAGAAAGGAACCACTGAAGAATATAATATGTATAATTTGTGAGTAATTAGCTCAGAAATTATCTATTACAGGAAATTGAAAAAGGAGCAAGTGTGATATGTGAAACAGTAATTCTCTTTGTGAGTTGTTTTAACAGATGTGGAATCTCCAGTTGCTCCTGCAGGTAGCAGATACATCTGAGGGAAATGTAGAAAGCTGAACTTTTATATTGAGATTTTTACCAGTTGAGTAACTATTCATGAAGCAGGTAGGCAATGTGATGAAAATACAGAGGAGACACTCTAAGCAGCAAGTCTGTAGTCACATTTTTGCTCGTTTTCTAAATTAGCATTCAGAAATTCACTAAACAATCATTTAGTGACCTGGCCCTTTAAAAAAGCTAATTTCCTTAAGTGTCTTTTTTTTTTTAAAAAAAAAGATAGTACTAAGAGTGTCTTCATCATAAATAAGTCTAGTAAATCATACAGTGTAAACATTATCGAATAAAAGCTATTTGTCAGCTTCCTTATTAAAAAATAATGTTTAAAATTCTCTGAAAGAACTGTTAACAATAAAAAATTATTGATTGCCCAAATTTCAAAATAACTAAGCATATTAAAGGGAGGAGGAAAAAAGTTTTAGAATTTAGCATACTAACACCAAATAAAAATCTTCTGCTTTGTGAAGTTGTGTATAGAAATAAGCTTCCCCGTTACTCTTGCCCAACATATACTTTATAAAATAGTTAATTACATATATCAGTGTATTTTCATACTGATGAAAAACACGTTTTAACAACTATTCAGGATGTGGACATAGAATAGAATTTTGCTTAAACTTTGATTGTCACAGGATTACTTTCATGGTGGTATATTTGGTCGTTTCTGTGAATTTCTTTTTAAGGTCTGGACTGAAGGGTAAAGCAATTAGGATTGAAAAAATCATCTATACTGGTAAAGAAGGCAAAAGTTCTCAGGGATGTCCTATTGCTAAATGGGTAAGTGCACTAGTTTATTAATGCCACATTGAGATTTGGATTACCCAGAGCAAAAAGTAATTTACGATATGTGAGAAATTGCTTATAAAGAAGACAGATTAGTTTTAAAACCATGAAGAAATTAAGTAATGGGAAGTGTTTATGGTGTTTCGGAGATCCATTCTAGAAGTATAATTCTACCTGGAATGTGAAGGAGTGATCTTTTATTCTTTTAATATCTGAAGTTACTTCATTTCTGACGACATTAAGATTGATAGAGAAGACCTCAATGTCTTTTATCTAGCTTTGGCATAGTTTATTCCTCCAGGAATAGTTTACTTATCCTGAGATTCGGGTGAATTCTCCATTTTAAAGATTCAAGTTCTAGTAGATATTGCCCTAATTTGAAATGTATGTATGTTTGTGTTGGTGTTTGTGTGTGTATACACCAATATTCTTACCTGCAGCAAGTGACCCTTGTTTTGTTTTTGCTGGGTTGGTGTGTTCTGCCTGGTGATTCACACAGGTAATACGGAGAAGCAGTGAAGAGGAGAAGGTGCTGTGTTTGGTGAGGGACCGAGCAGGCCACTCCTGTGAGAATGCAGTGCTTGTGGTTCTCATCCTGATTTGGGAAGGCATTTCAGTGAGTCTGGCTGACAAGCTCTACAAGGAACTTTCTGAGACCCTGAGTAAATCTGGCGCACTCACCAACCGTCGGTGTTCCCTGAATGAAGAGTAAGTAAAGCGCAGCTGTTCTTCTCAAGCCATAGCTAGAAATGTCATACCTTTGGTTTAAGGAAAGTTGAACCTACATTTTAAAAAATGGGCATAAAAATTGCATACATTATAATGGATGTGTTTGCACACATACAAACACACACACACACACACACACACACTTATTTGTCCTTAAGTACACTTATTGTGAAAATAAATACTGAAATTCTTTAAGTTGGGAACTCTTGTGTGCTTTGCAATTACATGCATAATGGGTATCTTATGCATAGATATCTCAGGTCAAAGATCTTAATAGTTTTTGTTGTCATATGGACTCATATTCACAGTAACAAAGCTAAACTTTGAGTCATTCAGTATCTTCGTCCACAGCTGCAACCCCATGGTTGCAGTCACTGACAGATTGTTTTTTAAAGCAGGAAGTGTCATCTTTCTTTATAAGCATTTCTTTCTAACCCTACCTTTCTTGACAAAGTCTTACCATCCTTTCCTGTAAGGAACATCAGGTTTGTTTCTTTGGACAGTCCATAGTCCACATTAAACACTACAAAGACATCAGTAATTCTTTGATATTCCTCATTCACTGCCCAACTTTCACATGCATGTGAAACAATGGGAAAATATCAAGAAAAATATCGCAACTTCGTTTTGAAATCAACATACTTGTTCCATATCAGTTTTAAAGAGGTTCATGACTGTGGATTCGCCCAATGCAACACTTATTCTTTTTTTTTTTTTTTTAAATTTATACTGGTTTACTCAGAAGTTTGTATACATTGTTTTCCACACTGGATCTTTCCCATTTCTTTTAACCGCCCCTAACACTTTTCTTGATAACTGCTTCCTTATTATGCATCTCCATCTATCATGATCCAGTTGCTTATTGATCTGTTTGTGTGGGTTTTTTTATATCTACAATGAAAGCTATACTCTATAAAGTGCTTCAAGCCAACTTTATTTTCTGCCAGCAAAAAAAAAAAAATGTCATCTGCATATTTCAAGTTGTTGCATCTTCCTCCAATGGCGCTCCATATTCTTCATGTAGTACAGCTTCTCAGATTATTTGCTCAGCATGCAGATTGAATGGGAATGGTGAAGGGTTACAACTCTGACACACTTTTCTCCTTTTAAACCTCTTCCAGTATACCCTTCATTTTGTTCAATGAGCTATTTCTTGGTTTATTTACAGGTTGTACCTAAGCACAAGTGTTTTAGAATTCCCATTGTTCTCAATACCATTCTTCCGGTGTTCTCTGCTTTCTCCAAAGGTCCATCTGATATCAGCAATGATAGCTCTTTTCCTATGAACTCATCTGAATCCAATTTTAAAAATAATGTCACCAACCAACTTTCATGTCTATTAGAATTAGGCTTCTGTATGACTGTTTTTAACATTAGCACAATCCAGTTCATTACTTTCACAGATGTAATGAAAACTGCTTCAACATTTAGTGACTGTATATATACATTATTCCCAAAGACTATAATATTTGAAATTATTGTTGTTGTTTTTGTTGTTATGTGCTGTCGAGTCACTTGCGACTCATAGTGACCCTATGCACAACAGCCCTAAACCTTGCTCTATCCTGTGCCAATTGCACTGCCTCTGACACACCCATCCCGATTACCCCAGTCACTAAATCAATCCACCTCATAGAGGATCTTCCCCTCCAGAGCCATCCCTCCACCCTCACAAGCATGATGTCCCTCTCCAAGGACCTGTCCCTCCTTACAACATGCCCAAAGTATG